TCAAACTTCTTCTTGTCTCTAATTAGAGTCACTATGGTCTCATTTCTAGGTGAATAAGCCTCCAACATAATCTTGGCAACTTTATGATCATCTAGCTCATCACAACCATAGCCTCTAATCTTGCCCACCATTGTCATCAACCTATCAAACATCTCTTGTGGCCCTTCTCCATCTAAGATTACAAACCGGTTGAGCTTTGACATCAACAAATCAATTCTTGCCTTTCTCACTTTGTCAACCCCTTCATGTGCTAGGTGCAAAGTGTCCTATATTTGCTTGGCAATATCAACCCCAATCACTCTACTGTACTCATCACCATCAAAAGCACTAAGCAACACATTTGTGGCTTGACCATTGAGGTGAATGATTCTCATCTCTTCTAGTGTTGGGCTCTTGGGATCAACCGGTGGCTCAAATCCATTGCAAACAATCTCCCAAATGCCGGGGTGAAGACCTATAAGATAGGCTCTCATCAAGTGCTTCCACTTGGCAAAGATAGTCCCATTGAAATGGGGTAGCTTGCCCACGGGCACCTTGATGAAAGACCTCTGATCATGGTTAGTCATAGGTATAGAAGAGTAGTTAAAGGATACGGCGGCATATTTGTTGTTGTTGGCTTTGCCCTTTCCTCTCTTCTCCTTCTTGCCCCCCTTCGACACTTGGTACGACTCATTATCATCTTTATCTTTGGAACTACTTGATATGTCACTTGATGCATTTGTTGCCTTCTCTTCTTCTTTCTTCTTGTTCCTAGCTTCTCTCCTTCTTCTTCTTGCTTCTCTTATGAGCTTTCTTTCTTCCTTTCTTTACTTCTTGTCTTCTAACCGCTGCTGCTCCTTCTTCCTCTCTCTTGCTTCTCTTTTGAACTTTCTTGTCTCCTTCCTTCTTCCTCTCTCATTGTCATTGAGAGATCTTTCGGCATCGGAAGCCTCAAGATGTGGTAGCGTGGTGTTGCTTGCTGTTGATGCGCTCAACTCACTGCTGTTGGCGTCGACATCCACCGGCTTCATGAAACTAGTTCCTCCTCCGAGCTCCATACCTCACGCGGTGAAGCACACATGAGGTAACATGCTCTGATACCACTTGTAGGATCTCTAGTTAGCCTAGAGGGGAAGGTGAATAGGCCTATCAAAACAAACACTCAAACTTTCATCAAATTTAACCTGCGGCACTGCCGCTCTGACCTTGCGGCACTGTCGGAGCATAGCAGCGGCACTGCCGCACCTGCAGACAACTTTGAGTCAATGTTTGGAGGTGATGTATCCGCATCCTATGTTGTACCCGATGATGCAACTACCAATATTATTTCATCGATTCAGATGCGTTTTGGACTGGTTTCAAAGTGTTGGTTCTTGCGACATGTCTAATGTCTTTGGGTTGGTCGTTGGATTCGACATAAAGACTACACTTTGACTTTGGCGTTCGAGGAAGACGATGGAAGAATCTGGATAGAATATTATGTATTTTTTATTATAGATTTTTTCATGTGTAATTTGGAGATATACTATGCCGAGTTTTAATATAATCCCCATTCCCTTGGCAAAAAAATATGACGCATAATCAGTATCATTGGATAAATCATTAAATAGACCAGCACGATTCACATAGTGACATTTTTTTGAACATAGGAAGTATCTTTTAATCAAAGACTATTGACTCTGCTTTATAGAAAGCGACATATTTATTGGGAATACCGTCTTACATAGCAAAGTATAAGCGACTTATGAACATATATTTCGCAACATTACATGAAAACCTCTAGACTCCCACTACCCAAATCAAGAAAGTGTATTCCCAAATAAGGAGTAATAAGAGAGAAAAAAGGAGTTACTAGCGTCTAGACGTCCGTTCCGAGAAGCTAGCATCGGACGCTGCTGTAGGCCATAGCTGAATCATTTGGACATTGCCGCAGGCTAGCTCTGCACCCATCCTGTGCCCCACCCGATCCTCGACGTCTGTTACTGTTCGGCCCCTGGCTGCTTCCAGGAGGTCCCATCCTGTAGGATCTCTGGTTAGCCTAGAGGAGGGGTGAATAGGCCTGTCAAAACAAACACTCAAACTTTCATCAAATTCAACATGCGGCACTGCTGCTTTGACCTCGTGGCACTGCCAGATAGCGGCATTGTCGGGCCAGAATAGCGGCACTGTCGCGCCTGTAGAAAACTTCGAGTCACAGTTCAAAATATGTGAATGTAAACTTGAATCGGAGAAATTTCTTAGCTTCCTGCAGGTATGAGATTCACAGATCGAGAGCTAGAAGTGGTAGGAACACAACACACAAGTAGATCGGCCACAAACCCTAGAAATTACCTCAACAACAATATGAAATGCAAATGATGTAAATCAAGCACAAGGTGACACGATGATTTAACCCGTGGTTCAGCTCGCCACCAAGACTTGCCTACGTCCATGTTGTTGAGGTTAGCCACTAAGGCTTAGGGCTTTGAAACCCTTCCTCGTTCTCAAGTCAAGAGACTCAACTCTTGAGATGAGGGTGAGTTTACTAGCTTCAAGAGGTGGTTACAAACCTCCCGGGGCTGCCACACAAGTTGGCAAGCTCCACGGGCGATGCTCTAGCCGGCTAGAAGTAAAGCTCCAAGAGTAATAAATACAACCGCCGGCCAAAACATAAACCAAGTGCTCTTTTGAGTTGGAGAATCAAAGGATCTGCTCTCTAATTGAGTTTGTGACCTTTTTCTCTCAAGGATTGATGGGAAAATCAAGGGAGAATGCTTGGGAGCTCAAGGTCACCAATGGATAGAGAAGGGCACTCTTCTGTTCTTGGACGAGCTGAATGAGTGGGAGAGAGAAGAGAGACGTTGGGGAGGAAGGAGAAAGGTATAAGTACCCCCTAGCCCCAACGGTCACTTTAAGTCGCGGCAGTGCCGCCGCTTAAGTGCAACAGTGCCGTACTGTTTCAGTGCCTCTCTCCAAGTACGGCACTGCCGCAACAGGCAAGACAACAAGAGTAAGAGTGAAGTGTTGGCTATCTTTGCTGAATAACTGAGGATGTATGTGTAAGATTGAGCACTTGGTAGCATATGTTAGCTTAAGCATTGTGTCCCCTTTATAGTACGGCTTTTCTTATACTCAAATTCCAAATATAAAAGAATTTAAACCTCCTTTGAGTTTGAAACCATCAACATTTGTAATTGGGGGCTCCTTTGTTTCGTGCAACATCCTCGAATATAGATTCCCTGCTTGTCATCTCGATAAATCCCATTAGTTCTCTAATTGCGTGGTCACTATCACCAAAACCCACAATTAGGGCTTGATTGTACTTTCACATCCCCGCCGTGCCCGCATCACCCACGACATCCCGTCCCCGCCGCTCCCATGTCCGCAGCCTCTATCTTTGCCATCAGCCCATACGCTAGGGAGCCGCAGCAGCCAACCTTCTCAGTGTCCATGGGCCTCACCGAGGCGTCTACCGTGCCTCTCACTCCCCTGCGGGAGTCCAACCTCTACCTGCTGGCGACCCGCCGTCATCGCTGGAGGTCCCCTTCGCCCGCTTTCTATGGTCGTCTGTCGTGGCAGACCAGCAGCTGTCACGACACTGCTAGGGCATCAACACGACCACCGAGGGCTTGGGCTTCCTCCATGCCTACATCTAGATCTCCTTTTGCAATACCCAGATGAAACAATTAAAACATACGTCTGAAACAGATGAAACATTTTGAAACATACACTTGCAACATAGCCATTGCAACATATGCAACATCTAGATCTACTTTTGCAACACCTAGATGAAACACTTGCAGCATATGTCTGAAACAGATGAAATATTTGTGACATACACTTGCAACGTAGTCATTGCAACATATGCAACAACCAGATCTACTTTTGTAACACCAAGATAAAACACTTGCAACATATGTCTGAAATAGATAAAATATTTGGAACATATACTTACAACATACGTGTGAAGCCATTGTAGAATGCAACATCCAGATCTAATTTTGCAACACATAGATGAAACACTTGCAATATATGCGTCTAAAACAAATAAAATATTTAGAACATACACTTTGAAACATACGTGTATAGCCATTGCAACATATGCACCATCTAGATCTACTTTTACAACATCCATACAAAACACATGCAACATACATCTGAAAACACCTGAAACACTCAAAACATATGTTTGCAACATGCGCTTTCAGCGCAACATCACCTTGCTGCTTGAGCGTCAGCGTGTGGAGTTCACCGGTGTAGAGCTCGCCAGCAACACGGAGCTGGGTGACAGCGCACACAGGGCAAGGTGGGCGCGGCACGGCGGACGAGTAGAGGGTGGATGGGATGACCGGTGGGAGCACGGTCGTGGTGGAGCCTAGTCGTGGAGCTGGGTGGCGGCGCATAGAGGGTGAGGTGGGGGCAACGCGACGACAGTGATGACATAAAAAGCAAGCGGGATGGCTGGCGGGCACCCAGACGCCTTGGAGAACGCAGGGCAGTCGTGGCACGGTCGCGGCGTTGCAGACTGGACGAGCGGATGTGATTGGAGCGAGTGAACGAGCGGATACGAGTGTTGAGCTGTTGGGCGTCGTGGCCTATCAACAGGAACGTATGCAGGCCGAAGAAGCTAGCGTGCGGACAGATGGACACGCTACAGGAAGCATTTACGAAAAAAGAAGGGAAAGAAAATAAAAAAGGGAAAACATTGGAAATGCGCCCCGGAAGTGGCTGCGCACAGACGCCGCAGACACGCTACAGGAAGCATTTACGAAAAAAAGAAGGGAAAGAAAATAAAAAAGGGAAAACATTGGAAATGCACCCCGGAAGTGGCTGCGCACAGACGCCGCAGAAGATCCTCGGTCCCCCTGACCAGAACCATTTCGAGTCTCGAGAGACGAGACCGTTACACCCCCGCCTCGCCTCGCCCCCTCCCCTGCCTTCGGAGCGGACGAACCAGCGAACCGCGCGCCCGCTCATCTCTCCCGTTCTTCCTCCTCCTCCTCCCCCACCGAATTCGTCCACCGAATCCCCCTCACACTCCCATGGATCGCTTGTCGCGGCCGGCGAGCCCGGGCGGCGGCGGGCTGGGGTACGCGTCGCGGCGGGGCCTCTACGTGCAGGCGGCGTCGCATCACCACCAGGCCGGCGGCGGCAGCGCGCAGACATCGCCCGGCGGATCCCCGAAGGAGCTGTCCCCAGTCCACCGCCACGCGCGGGCAGGGGCACTCGGCGGCGCCGGCGCGGCCTCCACCGCGGGCCGCCGCGCGGGGGTCGGCCCCGGCGCCGGCGCCCGCGCGCAGAACAGCGCCGCGCGCGCCGCCGCGCAGCGCCTCGCGCGGGTCATGGGCGGCGGCGCGGGCGGGGACGCCGGCAGCGGGAGCGACGACGACGACGACTACGAGCTTTCTGGTCCCCCCATCGAGCTCTCCAACACCCCGCGCCGCACCTCCACCCGATCCCCTTCCCCCTCGGTAACCATCGTGTCCATGCGGTGGCATTTGGCTCTGCATGTGATTTTGTAGTGCATACTCTGCAATGCTCCTCGATTCTCAATACGGCCTGTGCGATGTGCTAAGTGGTGGCGTGCAATTCTGTGCATTTTAGATAGGCCGTTACCTTGCGGATCAGACGCAGGTGGGCCGGCCGCCGTCGCTGACCAACCGCTACACGGCTGGGAAGTCGGTCCCCATGATCCCGTCGATCAAGCGGCCGGCGACCAGCGGTGCGGGGGCCGGGGCTGGTTCAGAGTCGCCCATGCCGAACCGAAGGGAGCAGAGGTAAGGACTGTCCTGCTCTCAAGTATTAATTATTGTGCCCCATGCCCCCATGCATGACAGAAGACAGATTTCGTGGTGCAATACGTTAATACATTTTGCGAGCATCTTCACTGTGGGCCTGTGGAGTTTTTCCAGTTATCCAAAAGTTCTGCTATCTCCGTGTTTTTATCTGGATTCCATGTCTGCGCTTGAGGCAGATGATTAGTATCCCCGTGTTTTTTTGTTGCTAGTTTGCTTTGAGGCTACGACTTATCTTCCAAGCACTATGTTGTGGCATGGTGGATGTGGATCAAAGACTGCGGAGTTGATAGTGGCGACTGACGGTCGGCTGAGTCTGTTCGCCTCACCTCGCTGGAGCTATGGTGGACTTGAGAGAGAGGTAGAGAGGAAGATAGGAAGAATATTTGTTCTCATTGCTGGCTTTGAGGACTAGGAATACATCAGTTTGGTTTATATAACACCGACTGTTCTCCTTCCGAAACACCTATTAGTTTTGCTAAACTAATAAGCCTATATACCTGGATTGCCTAATCCAAATCCAAAGCAAACTCCAAAGTAATAATCACCTAAAATACTGAAGATAACTGAAGTCAAAATTTTAGGCCGCGATAGGCTTCTTGTTGTGCTGGCTTTAGGTCCTGCCATACATAACACACTATCTATGCAGCGTGTTCTAGTTTCCCAGACGCAGAAACTGTGCTAAATAAATATCAAAGCAGTAGAATTGTGTGTTAATTCTTCAGCTAGTTATTAGTGATGCTGCAACTTTGATAGTGGAGTAACTTGATGCTAAATTTGAGATGTTGGTGCCATATTACCATGAGCATTGCAACAGAAGTCGCAAATCATGATTCTGCTTATGTGGCATTGCTTGCTTCTGAAACTTACCAAAAGGTCCAATAATATGGTGGATTCAAATGCACCACCACGTTTAATATGAACTAATCATTTGAGCATTTGTAAATAGGATAAGTCTTCATTGGATAACTGAAACTCCAAAACTGGGGTTTTCTGAGACAGCATTTGTCTAGAACAATTAGCAAATAGCAAGCATACCTTTGCAACTTTTTTTTCGAATGCATAAGAAAGCTGTGTATCATTATATTAAGGATAATAGAAGTACAAACCTTTGCAACTGACATGCCACATTACTGAATAACACTCATTGATTGAATTACACTTGACTTAAGACATTTTTTAGAAAATTATTCTATCTATCGGTGTTAGTTATGCAAGTATTTGTTTTTTGTTTAAAAGAACCTTTTGATACTTGCTGCCTTTGCATTCTTGGCTCTCAATGATCACTTGTTAAGTAATATAGGCTACATCATTCTTAGGAGATCAGTTGATCTTGGAAGCTCATTGAGAGCTCGTCGTACATCTTCTTCTCTTAATGATGAGGTAATTTCTTTCATGAATTCAAGTTTTATATAGAATCTTAATGCTACGATCTATGTAACATTCTGTTTACTGCTTGCGGGGTTAACCTTCAATATGAGTTATCTCTCCTCCATGCTACAATTCTTGTCTAACCAATGTTATGGACACTGTCAAAACAGCTGTCAATCATTTACCTAAATTAGTTTTTCTCTTATTCTGGAGTGCAGCTGTGGTTCTTAATTTTTTATGTCCATGCTTTGCAGATTAACACACTTCAAGTGGAAAATGAAAGCATGTATGACAAAGTGAGATATCATGATTCTATTTTCTTTTATAGTTTAACATGTTGGAAGCAATCAACCTTGTTTTTATCTTACCTGCATCTTCCCATCTTCAGCTTGCAGAAGAAAGGTCTGATGATGGAGATGCCAAATCCATGCACATGGAGAGAGAGGTCTTTTCTGTGATAAAATGCTGACTAAATCTTTGCTTCTGATATTACTTGATTGACTGTCCTATTTTTTAGTTTTTAACTTGACAACTGGATGTATGCTAGTATGATTTGTTTGGATACCATGTGGAAATTTTCATGTTTTGCATTGACCATATTTATTTCCGGACTTCAGGATTCTGATATTGGTGATGCAGTAGAAACAGAGCCAATTTTGATTAGCAGGTATGGCAGTTACTAAAAATATGCTACTTATTGTCGATGCCTGCTTTGTATTTTAAGCCATATTTTCAATTTGGCTCTCAGGAAAGACGCAGCACTAGAACAAAGAAAGGTATGTTCCCATAGAAAGCTTCTCCTGCTCAAAGTTTTGAGGGAGCACTAGAGAGAGAAGTTTGCTTTTGTTTGAGTCACTTTTGATTATTACTGTGTGCACTATACAGTTATTTGTGATCAATTTTTGCATACTAGTTTTGTTCGAGCTTGATGCCAGTTTTGCTCTTAGATTGCTATGCGAATTGCTTCGCGAAGGTCCAGCAGTGCAAGCTGTAATGAGATTGCAACCCTTAAGTCAGAAGCAAAGGTGTATTGGATTTTTCCATGAATCTGGTTATCCATTGCTGAACGAATTTTCCAGAGTCATATTTTGCAATTTGTGATAGGTTACTAGTAATTTGGTTACATCTGTATCTCGGAGACTGAAAAGTGCTAGATCAGAACTGAGATCTCTTCAGGCAACAGCCAACAGAATGATGCTGTCACAGGAAGAGCTGGTGTGTACGTTGGTTACATAATCACAATATGAGCACTTTTTGTCTGTGGCTTATCATTGTAATTTTTCATGAAATTCCGTAATCAGGAGGAGGTGGTGCTAAAGAGATGTTGGCTGGCCCGCTATTGGACATTATGTTCTAAACTTGGTACCAAGATCACTTTTGCACAGTTTGTACTCCTTTACGATGAGGGAGTATTCCCAGTTGCCTAAATAATGTTTCAAATATTCAGCATGTTCGCTTGTTGGTTTCAGCCAGGGCTTATCAGCCAGCCAACAGTGTTTTCCTCTCACAACAAACCAGCACCAGCCGGGCTTATCAGCCCAGAAATCAACCAGCGAACAGGCCGATTATGTGTTCTTGAATTAACATATTGGAACAGCAACTAGTAACCATTGTAATCTGTAACTGCTAGCTCAACCTTAGGACCATGGGCTAGGATGCATAATTATCCAACCCTGTTTGTCCTTTCGTGTTCACACCACACTTTTTTTTGCTACTGTTTAACTTAGTTTGCGTTTAAACACTAGTGCTGTCTGGTTATTCATAAAGTTTGAACTTGTAATCTCTCTTTTGTTCTTTTTCATAATAAATTCACACAATATTTCCCCTAAAAAGATCAATGTCGATTTCCAATTTTGTATGTTCCATGAAAAAAATGTGTCTTGTCAATAAGCAAACAGACGATTTTTTAATATATAAATTGTTATATAGTGTCTGGTTTTGGCTAATGGTGAGCACCCCCCCCCCCCCTTCCCCAGGGATACATTCTGATATTGCTGAAGAAAAAAAAGAATACTGGTCCTCATTTGCACCGCGTGCACTTGAAGCAGTCCTATCAATTGGGCAAAAGGCAAGAGATGGAACTTTATCAGGTTATCAAAAGCTATCTTTAATTCTTCTTGTTTTGATATTTTACTTCTATGAAGCTGTTGATACAAGAATAATATGTTCCACTTACTATGCAAGTACTAAATTATCTCTATTGGCTAATCATGGAGATGAGACCCAGATTCCCCACAGGTCATGACACAATTTGACAAGTAACAAATGAAAAACCTTCAGTAGTATTCTTATTCTATGCAGTGATTTGATTGTAACAAAATGTAACCACGTGGCCAATTTCTACATGCTAGAAATTTGGAAACTTCAATTGAGTTGCTCAGATTTGACTCTCTATTCTCATCTTCTGGCTGTAAAATAGGATTTATTTGCACTTTACATTTGTACTGTGCAGTGTAAAAGGAGCCTTTTGCTATGTGTACTAAAAAAATCTCATCTGAAGGGCTAATGTTAGTAGTTTTACTGCTTTTAAAATAGTCTCGGATGATGAAGGATTACTAAGTGTATCAGATTTCATGCATGACCTTAGTCACATAACCCTGTTCTTTTCTCATAGTTCATGTGGTGACAGATAATGCTGACATGGAGAGCAGAAGCAAAATGTCTGATGTAAACGATATATCTAGTGATGGCAATATTGAGACCATGCTTTCAGTTGAGAAAGGATTGCGTGAATTGGCTTCACTCAAGGTTTTTCTCAAACTTGAATTGTGTGTATGGGACATATATGCTACTTCAAAGTTTCAACTGCATGTCAGCATGATCAATTTAACTCAGAGACATGATTCACACTGTTTAAAATCCGCTTTCGTGTATTAATTGATGTACATGATTTCCTAGAATGTGAAACCTATTGCCTGCCACATCTCATACAGTTCTATTCTAGTTAATTGTTCAGAATATTTTGGATTTTGCTGTGCCACATCAGGTAATATGGAAAAGTGGATTATCCAACTTCAGAATCCTACTGCTACTAGAGTGACTGGTTCATCTCTGTAAAGTATATAGCAAATGCAACATATATGAGATTGAGTTAGCTTTTGCATATTCTCAGAAAAATGGCATTACTATATTTTTGCTTTTATTCATAGGGCGTACCGAGTGCAGAGCTCCCGCTTTGTGCGGGGTCTGGGGAAGGGTGTCAATGGCAAGCCTTACCCTCGCCTATGCAATGCGAGGAGACCGCGACTCGTCTGCTTTTATTCATAGTGCTGTAATAATAACTTCATATTTCCTTTGAAGGTAGAGGATGCAATCATGCTTACTTTGGCTGAAAATCGACATATCAAACCTCTCTCAGGTGGCTTTTCGAAAATGTACTCATTTCTTATACTTTCATCTTACTAATATTTTATGTACAATATTTCCCTGGACCACCAATAGATAGCCATAACTGGTTCTTTTCGTTAACGAAGATAAACCATAAAAGTAATGATCTTGATTTCTCTTATTCACTATAACAAGAACATAGTAGGGAATAGATCTTAACTCATTGTGATGATGATAATATTTGCATGTGTAGCATGTAGCTTAACTTGCACAATGTTGAGCCACTTCCGAGAAATATTATGCATAATTCGCCTGTAAAAAGTGTTATTGTATGAATTAATGTCATTGGATGAATAATTTTACCTTTTGATAAGGATTGAACTTCCATTACAGGCCAAGCATCTGAGGGTCGGAGCCCTTCTGAGTCATTAGGTTAGTTGCTCTGTCAGTACTTTTGTATCCATGACCTTTGACGAACACAATGTCAATTCACTTTCCTAATTATGTGTCTGACATATTTCCTGGTCCTAGAGTTAAGTGCGGAAGAGCGAGAAGATGTACGCTTCAAGCAGGTAACAGATTATGTTATGTTACTCAAATTTTATTTCGCTCTGGCCAGCATTAATATTCTTTTTTGTTCCATTGTTAATAATATAGAATGAAATACACTAACAAACGATAAACTTATTCTATGGTATCATCAAGATAACTAAACTCTTAAATACCTTGTCACTCTAGGTCCAAATCAGCATGTGTTTGTTTATGTGGTACTCTTGGCTAAGAGAGATGTCCGTCTAATCACATGCTGATAGGGGGATTTGAACCTTGAGTGGCCAGACTGTGATCTGCAATATTAAGAGTTTAGGGACATGAATGACACCATGGTACAAGTTTAAGGATTGCTAGTGCAGTTTATATGTAGAAGGGCAGGCCTGGTGCAAGCAGTAGAGTCTTACCGCCTGTGACGGGAAGGTCCCGGGTTCGAGTCGCGGTCTCGTCGCATTGCACAGGCGAGGGTAAGGCTTGCCACTGACACCCTTCCCCAGACCCCGCACAGAGCGGGAACTCTCTGCACTGGGTACGCCCTAGTGTGGTTTATATATAATCATGAACCTAATCTCCTAATTCCGTATTAGTGTCCATTATGTGCTTAACAAACTTGACTACGTTAGTAAAGAGAAATGTAAAATAAATATTATGTGAAAACACTTCATGGCTTTGCTTTTCGTTATCTGGTAAGCTTCATGTTTAGTGTCCTCTTATTTTGATTTCCAACACACTACAGGCATGGTTGACCTATTTCTGGAGGCGGGCCAAAAATCACAACGTAGAAGAAGATATAGCTGATGAGCGACTACATTTTTGGATAGAACAAAGCAATCACCCAGTTACTACAAGCGATGTAATAGAAGGTAGGTTATTTTCATCCATTCCCATAGTTTTTTTTTCTCGAAATCAATTATTTTAGTTTAATGCAGGTTTTCTCCACCTGAACCTTGCTAAATTTAAATTTTGAAGTCACAATGAATTCATTGTGATTGATTTTTCCCATAATCATGTATAAAAACATAGAGGAATTGGCAAGCTGAATTTCAAGCTTGACGTCAGTGAGATCATTATTGATTATCCTTTTCTTTTCCTGCAAACATGTAAAAAGTTGAGAGAGGACTCCACGAGCTGAAGAAGCTGGGAATCGAGTCTCAGCTGTGGGATGCGACGAGGAGAGCTCTCGATGATGATTTAAGCAACCACGGGAGTCCAACTGGATCTGAAGCTTAGCAAACAAAGTTAGCAAATGCATAATATGGACCAAGGCTCTATTGCCGATTTTGTGCCGTCAGAGGCCCTAGAACCATCCTGATATACTTTTCGTGCTGTTATTAATGGCCATTTGCTTGGTATCTTCCTGTAAAATATTGAACTTTCATCAAAATATCCAGTAATCCTTTCTTTTGAGTTCTATTTCTGTTAAATGCTAGTTTATTCGTGAAAGCAAAAGGGGTTAATCATGGAGTCATCGGATGCTTTGCTCTCCGTCAGGTAACTCTACTGCAACAAAAATATGCATTGCTAGATTTCCTTTTTCCTTTAGCAATGGTGGTGGTCCATTCCTTTTAGGAGCAAAAAGCGTACCAAAGCAGCTTCCAGGGTTATTAAGCGCAGCAATGATCGGAGCCTTGTATCACACACTGAGGAGTGACGATCCAGCAGCTGCAGTCCCCATCCTGCGAGCCATGTCCACGGAGACGCCGTCGCCAGCGAGCCAGCGGCGACGGCAGTGCGCGGCAGCAGTGGCAGCCGCGGCCGCTGCTTGCCTCGCGCCTCTGGTCGTGTTCCTGGCGGTGCTCGTCCTCGTGCCGTCCCTTATCCCGCGGCTGCTCCTCCGGCCGCACCACGTCGTCCCCTACGTCGCGTCCAGCGAGCTCCGCGCCCTGGCCTTCGACGCCGCGGCCTCAGCCGTCACGTACAACCTCTCCGCCGTGCTGCGGTTCGACGGCCCGCCGAACCTGTACGCGCGCCGGTACACGGGGATCAGGGCCGCGCCGTTCTACGCCGGGCAGGAGCTCGGTGCCGCCGTGGCGCTGCCGGGGTTCACGCAGCGCAGCGGTGGAGGCAACGCGCTACCGGTAGCGTGGGCCGGCGTGCAACGCGTGCCGCCTGGCCGGCGCGCTCGCGCCGTGGCCGCGGCGCTCGCTCGGGAGCGTGCCGAGGGGTGGATCAGCGTCAAGGTCGCCGTGCGCGCCGCGCAGGACGGCGCGGAGAGCGACTTCGCGTGCGTGCTGAGCTTTCCGGTGCCTCACAAGCGCGACGGTGGTGGCGCTGGCAATGGCGCCGCCCCAGGGGTGTTCGATGGCGGCAGTTGCATTGACGCCGTACGCACCGAGTTCTAGACGCCACGCCACGAAAACGCATGCTCCGACGATGTTTGACTTCAGTTCATCCGTGTCCTCCTTGTTGTTGTACAATGCTGTGCATGTGCTTCGATTGCCAAGATTAGTTTTGATCATCTTTAATTCAGATTTGTCTTGTAAAAAAATCAGATTTGGATTTTTTGTTATCCTAATCTTGAGTTCTTAACGGAAGGACGCCTGATTCATCCTGAAATTGTTTTACCAAAACACTGTAACTGCCACTTAGGTGTCAGGATCATGAACTCTATTGGAAGCACATCCTATCATTCTTCCAACATGGAAGGCGGTTTCATTGCAAAACAGTTGTAAGCTATAAAACTTGATAGAGCAAACGTGGGTTTCTTCATCTATCGTCAGTTCGTCACCCAACAAATCATTACGTTACAGCATTCAAACAAGGCAAACGCCAGAAGCAGAGCTGAGCATTGGTAGCACGACTATTTGCTTCTCTTGACAGCACGCCTTCCCTGTCCCTTCTTTGGCGGTCCCTTGCCACGACGCTTCAGCATTTCCAGCTTAGCCAGACGCCTGCGGAAAGTAGACATGTCCCAGTAAGATAAATGCTCATAGGTCATAGCAATGAGAAAGTTCTATCAGACAATACTACTGAGTACTCTTGTAACTTGTGCATTTTGTCTGCTTCTTGAACTCATGATAATGTGGGCAGAAAGAACAGAAAACAACAGGCTATGTTCAATGCTGCAGTTCAGAATGAGAAACACTAATATCTATCATGCTTGATTCACACTTGCTCTATGTTTTTCTTAGTATCTTTCAGCTAGCATGCTCCTTTTTTTTTTGCATCTCATTACCAAATCTGCAATACTTTTACTGTATTCCAAGGGTGAATACTAAAAGTCTAAAACCAAAGACATGTAACTATACATAAACAACATCACAAACTCCATTTTGGTCCTCGCAGTAGAACTAAGGTTTGATAAGCAGTCTTGAACTCCTATGCCAGTGGAATCTGCAATACCTTTACTATCTTACAAGGGTGAATACTAAACCCAAAGACTTGTATACTTATAAAGAATAAAATAATGACTTCTGGCTTTCTAAAGATGCAAGGCAATCCACAGGTTCCTCACGTAGTTCTCGCTGCTGAACTAAGGTCCGATAAGCAGTCTTGAACTCCTATGCTAAACAGCACAGCACAAACCTGATGCAACCCTAATACCATTAATAAAACACATCTGGGAGTTCGCACCATTTTCATGATTTCAACTCAAACCCAGGAAAGAAGAATCAAATTGTGATTTTTTATGGTTTCAACTGAAACCCAGAAAACAAAAAGAGAGGGTCAAGTAGTCACACTGATTCTTGCACATTTTTCACACATTTTTCAACTGTCAGCATTACCTCAGAAAAATTACAAAAATAAATAAATAAATAAATAAATAAATAAATTATAGATGGGTCTGTGCCAACCAGTTTTCCATTCCTAGATACTAAGTGGAAATATGCCCATGTGCATGAACCTTGCGATAAACCAAAAGAGAACTAAGTTCAACATGGTCAAAGAGTGAATGATCAGATTTACTGTAGTACAAATCATCTCAATACAGATATTCCAAACAATATCTCACATTTCTCAGCCAATATTAAGTTGTGCGAGAGGACCCCTTATCAAACAATAGATGCATTCTTGGGACAGAAAAAAAAAAGCCAACATATCCTATGGTGACAACAAATCCAGATATCAGAGCACCAGACTAGCTGGAGAAGGCAAATTAGTGACATAGTTCCGTACTTTACTTGGTGATTGCTAGACTACCCTCTGACAAAAACCAAAGTTCAAAAAGGCGACTCCTTAGGCGTGCCTAGGCGCGACTAATAGGGAGGCGACGGGCTTCACTGCCTACGGGGGTGGGGGTAGGCGCCTTCGGGCGGCACAAGGCGGCGATTTGGCGGCGCAGTGGCAGCGCCTAGGGCGGCGTGGAGGCGGGACGCCTCGAAGGCTGTGAAATTTTCCGCCCAGAGCAGTGCAAGCACTTGTGCAATTGGCTTCAGGCGCGGGAAAAGAAGCCTCGCGCGGGAAGGATAAGAGGGAGAAGGGGGGAAAAGGACGCGCGCCTGCCTGCTTCGTGCTTCTCCCGCTCTCAGACGGCTGCTGCCGCTCCCCCGCCTCCGCCTAAGACCCCTCTGGGAAGCTGCTCCCAACGGCCGCACTCCTCCCTGCCGGCGCCGGGCAGGTGGATCCGCAGGCCGCACTCTTCCCCGTCTAGAAGCTCCTCCCCGTGGCCCGCCCCTAAGCTCCTCCCGCACTGAAGCGCCTCCCATGGTCGTGACCTGCCCCCGCCTAGAAGCTCCTCCCCACCGGTATCGTCTTCCCGTCGGCGCACCCCTCCCGCAGGCGCATCCCTCCCCGACGGTGTCCTCCGGTCCTCCCTAAGCGGCAGCCCCAAGGTCAGTCCCCTCCCCTGCTCTGAAGCTGAATACTCTGGATGCCTGAATGCTCTGAATGACTACTCTGAATGCCTGAATGTTAGAGAGCCTGATCTGTGCTCTGGATCTGAATGTATACCTAGCGAACACTGAGGGAGCGAATCTCCTGAGAAGGAATTCGGATGATGTGGGATGGGAATATGGGGTTCTTGTTGATGCTAACAACAAGGACAAGGTGAAGTGCAAACTCTGTGACAAGGTGATGCAAGGAGGGATTTACAATAAATTTGATTACAACATGGTTGTTTGCTGTTTTCATCTAACAATAAATGGCTACTAACTAATAGAGGTGTTTTTCATTTATTTCAGCATCATGGTGGCGGCTGTATGAAACTGAAACACCGACTTTACACAAGATGGCTACAAGGATCCTATCTTTGACATCAAGCTCTTTTGGTTGTGAAAGAAATTGGAGCGGGTTTGAAGGGGTTAGTACTGTCTACACGAAAATTGCAAAGAAAGATTACAATTAAATTGCAGACTGAAAATGCTCTTATTTTAAATTTATAGGTACACACTAAGAAGAGAAAATAGGCTTACTACAGCCCGCTTTGAACAAATTGGTCCATATTCAATTCAACTCCAAGATGATTAATAAGAAAGAAAAGATCAAGTCAAAGAAGATCGGTGATGTTCTCTTGTCTAATGATACAAGCTGAAGCTCAAGGTTTTCGCATGAGAATGGAGATGATTGTGCATTAGTTGTCTATAGAGATGAGGAAGATGAGATGGAAGGTGCAGGATACCTTGGTCTGTTATTGGAGATGCAAAGTGGGAGAGAAGAACAAGCTGGAGTCTGCGTAGAAGTGCAAGAGTGAGACAGCTTTATGAAGGAGAAGAATTTGACTCCGAAGAAGAACAGTTTGATGAAGATGAGGATGATTATGTGGAACCCTATTGAAGAAGAAAGATGATACGGTAGTGGGGCCTTTTTATCATGTCATTGTTTATCTTTTATGATGCATTCATGTATGTCTGAAACTTATGAATTGCTGCTGTGTGACTGTGTTTTTCTTCTTTTGTGAGAACTATGTGGTCTCTAAACAAGACTTTTATTTATGAATTGTGTTGTGCACTTGTATTGCTGTCCTGTCCACTTGTTTGTGCTTTAAAATTTATAATTACTAGCTGCTGATATGGTCTGTTCATGGATGGGGGATGGCTGAAATCATTCAGATAAGTGTCAACTTGCTATTTTCTATTTTTTTTATGAACTGCTTGCTGTCTATTGAGTATTTACAAGCTATCAATCCTTGCTGTAGGAACTAGGAACAAGCTGTCTATTGATTATTGAGCCTAAGCCAGTAAACCACTAAGGTATGTCTACTGCCCTCTCTTTTATATACTGTATTCAGCTACTCTATGCTTCTATTTAACTAATTTATTCAGCATTTTCTGCTATATATATATATATGTTGTGTGCTAAATTGGCAAAACGCCTAGAAAAACGCCTTGAAACGCCTAGGCTGGCCTAGGCTAGCCTAGGCGCTAGGCTATGGGTCCGCGCCTAGAAAGTGCCTTCTTAAACTTTGACAAAAACAAATGCATTTGTGCCACAACACAATCAGCAGAATCTGCTACCCAGCTTGCTGCTGCCAACTTATCATCCAGCATCACTAGCTCCCTAACAACAAAAATTCACCCTAGCCTGTTTGCTATCAGAATTTAATATGAACAGCCATGCAATTGAGGGCGTTCATTTGCTTCACAATAACACAACACAACATCGTGCCAGATCAACATCAAGTCATCAACAACCACAAGAGATTAATGAAAATGAATTGGACAGCCACCAGAGGTGCCAGAGATACTAATTGATCTAAACCTCCAGCGAAAATATCCATCGAAGGTGAAAGCACCGTATTCCCATACCTAGAAACACCATACTGGAATTGCACTACGGCATCCTGGTTGCAACAACTAAGAAGTAACGACTAGTACATCAAGTCGGTGAGCCCATCAATTTGCGTCGGTAGTTGAAGCCAACAGATACATCCCCGGGCGTCAGCGAGATGACACACTGCTTCCGAGGCATATCAACGAACACACACCGAGCACGAACAACCAACGGGCAACGGCACAGGGATTACGTAGCAAAGCAAGCGAGACATGCGAATCACTACAAGCCCAATCCCCCAGCGGAGCTGCGGAGGCCGAGGAGGGGGAGGAGGAGGATGTGAGCACTTACTCCTTCTCCTCGCGCGCCATGACGAGCGGGTCGTCGCGCTTGATGTCGTAGGGGTACCACTGCGCTACCTGGTCGCCGACCATCTTCTATCCCAGGAGCTTCGTCGCCGCGCGCTTCCCCGTCGGGTTCAGCGCGTGGCCGAAGATGGACGCCCGCACCTCCGCGGCCCCCGCCGCCGACGCCGCCAGCAGCAGCCGCCGCAGCCCGCCCGCCGCCGCGCTCATTTCTCCCCCGTCCTCCCTCGGAGTCCCTCTCGGCGGTGGTGGATGGATGGCTCGTGATCTGACGGACCGACGGCCCAGATCGCCCTTCATTGTAGTGGTTCGGTGGGCTCTCGAGTATTGGGCTGGGCCGGGCGGGTAACAGGGTGGTAAGCTCGGCCGGGACGAATGGACGATATGTCTTGATGGGCTATCATCCTTTTCCTTTTTCTTTTCTTTTTCTGTGCCTCGCACGAGAGTGAATAAATTTTCAGAGAATCCACGAGAACGGTCTTTTTACAGTTTCCTACTGAATACATGTTTTTTTTCTGTTAAGAATCAGATCCATGTTTTTACAGTATAGCATAGTGTCTCCGGCTGCGCCCTTCACCAACTGATCCGATGAACTTACTTAAAACTTGAATTCAAGCTCCATTTGAATTTTGAAGTTTGATATTGTCCAATTTAATTTCTTTGAAATCCACGATTTATCATATATCTGTTGTTAGAAATTTAGACATTTTCATGTTAAAATTAATCCAGAAAAATAATAACAAATTTGTGATGACAAATATGTGCGCGTGTGTGATTTTACTACTCCTCATATTAGTATCAAATATGTTTATAAACAACATACTGATTATAGCGAAAATGAGATTAAATTTAACCAATTTGAAAATAGAGATGTACCCTACGGAGGGACCCATGCTCAAAGCACAGGTGGCTCTAGTCCCATTCATGGTGAGTTGCTCAAAGTTGCGGACCACAGTTGATGCAGGAAGATGTACGCAGTGCAGTCCCTCAAACATCCACCGGGAAGTAGACGATCCGAGGAAAAAGAAGAAGACGTCGACAGTCACCAGGAAGAAGCGAGCAGTCGCGAAGACGCTTTCCAAAAACCTGATCGTCCGTACACCCGAGCAGATGTCATTGATGTCCGAAGGCCTGCTCTCCCAACTCTCCATGCGCGCCGAGGATCGGGACGAAGAAACTTAGAAGGCAACGCACTAGTGAGAAGTGGAAAATATAAGAAAAATGGACCCTAGGTCTATTTACTTTGGATTTTGGTGTTTGATGACCAACACAACTAAATTAGACTAATAAATTTGTAAGTGATTGTTTTGTAGTTCAATAGGGTGCAAGACATGACTTGGATGAAGAAGACATGATGATCCGATGATCAACACCTTAAGCAAGACCCTAGAAGCACAAGAGAAGACCCAAGATATCAAGCAAAGTCCAAGCACGAAGATAGGAACCAAGCCGGACGCAAGATCACGAAGAAACGAGCTCCACAGTACTGACCGAACACTAAGCAGCCGTGACCGGACGCGACGATGACACTGTTCACTATCACGGCAATAGCTTAGAACTGATCGGACGCTGGAGGGTGATCGACCGGACGCAGGAACAGTGGCGTCCGATCAAGTCCTAAGAGGTTTCAGAGCGGCGCAGTTGCGACCGGACGCGTCTAGTGATATATGACCGGACGTCATCAGTGTCCGATCAGTTGATCGCGCCAAAGACCAAGTGACCGTTGTGAGTGACCGGACGCGTCTGGTCAGGACGACAGCAGCGTCCAGTCAGTAGCAGAAAAGTGGGTTTCATCCCCAACAGCTACTTTCTCAGTGAAGCTTATAAATAGACCCCTCAACTAGCAATTTGAGTAGTGTGGAGCTGATGAAACATACCAAGGGTGTTAATACACCATTTTAGTGATCTCCACTTGTATAGTGCTTAGCGATTCATTAGGTGATTAGCGTAGGTGCTTTGCGAAGTGCTTAGGTTGATTAGACCACCGCTTATGCGCTTGCTCTAGGTTTAGGCCTAGTGTTTAGTGAGGTTTGCATACCTCTTACCACTCGGTGCTTGTGCGCACCATTATTGTACATCGGGGGGGCTTGTAGTCTTGCGAGATCACACCAACCGCGTTTGTGGTGTGGCCGCCACCGTGTACCGAAGGAAACAAGGCACGCGGCGGTTCGGCCGGAAGCTTGATAGTGAAGACGGCGGGGAGCGGTCCGAGAAAGACTTGCCGGAAGGCACACCGGAGACCCACTTACGCGTGGGGAAGGCCCGGGGCTATCCACAGAGTTACCCGACCAGGAGCTTGGCCCTTGCGAGGGATTCCTTGCGAGGGGCTCCAACAAGGACTAGGGAGAAGCTTGCGCGCTTCTCGATACCTCGGTAAAAATACCAGAGTCATCGACGGAAGTTTGCATATCTCTACCTTACTCTTTAGCTTCCACATTTACATTGTTTACATAACTTCTTTTGCGATAGAGATAGCAACACACTAGCAAAACCGTAGTTGCACATTTAGATAGTTTATCTTTTTCATAGGATTTGCTAATAATAGAAAAAGATGCCATAGTTTAGAGTTAGACTTTTAAGTTGCCTAATTCACCCCCCTTCTAGGCGTCACGGTCCCTTTCAGAAAACACTAATTGACTATCTTATTATTTTCAAACTAGAAACGTCCAATGATAGTTCTATTGTTGTTATGTCTTTTCTCAGGAGGATTGGTACATATATATAGAGAGGAGAACTTCCTACCTCCACATCAACTAGCAATATGGTACTAATTGATGTTGTACCTTCCACCTCTACTCATGGACTTAAACAATAAAGCCCATTAAAGAACACATATATTGGGCCTTTGAGATTTATTAGAATTTCTTCATATGGATTTAGGGAATTTTATCCATATAAATTATAACAATCTCCACCAGATCTCAAAAGCCTAGTATAGATATTTTCTTTCTCCCACTACTGTTTATATACCAGTGTTTTTCAGCAGAGACTATTAAGTTGAACATCCGCCTAGAGCTTCAAGCTACACCTATCCACAACTTAAACAATGGACTACGCCTTGAATTGCAAGTTTTGTGTGAATGAGTTTCACCTAAACTCTTTACTGATACTGGGTTACCAAAAGCATCCTCTCTGGTTGGAGCATATAAGTCATACTCCTGGGCCTTTGATGAGTATCTAGAGATCACCCAAATCTCATAGACTGTGACTAGTAGTCAAACTCATATAGGTGTATTCCTCAAAAGATGTTTTGTAGGACAATATCTTTGCTTCACCAAGTCACTTGGAACACATTAAACTAAAAACCAACATGTCTTACAGTAAAGGAAAGACGTGCATATGACATGGGCCAAGTTAAGGGTCTTTCCTCACAGTCTACTAGTGGCTTATTTCACCGTCCTACTTCACGGGATCTCCAATCACATAGAATAGGTTACCACCATGATAGACTTCATGTGGGTCTCAAGGCCATTTCACTCGATGCACTATCTATCACATTATGTGATAGTTCCTTAGTGAATTGATCTGCTAGATTTTTAGATGTGTGGACATAGTCCAACACTATCACTCTGAAGTTTCTCAATTTTCTAACAGATTTTAATCTCCGCTTAACATGCCTTGTGGACTTCATGTTATCCTTAAAACTATTTATCTTAGTTATCACAATTTAGTTGTCATAGTTCATAGAAATAGCCGGTATAGGTTTCTCTACAACTGATAAATCCATAAGAGTTCACGAAGCCACTCGGCCTCAGCGCCAGTGGTGTCTAATGTTGTGAGTTCTGCTTCTATAGTTGACTTCGTTAAAACGGTCTGCTTGTAAGACTTCTAGGAAATAGCGCCACCTCCAAGCAAGAACACATATCCGCTTGTGGCATAAAGCTCATCAGTATCAGATATCCAGTTAGCATCACAGAAACCCTCTAGTACCTTTGGGTACCCGGTATAGTGAATGCCATAGCTCATAGTACCTTTGAGATAGCGTAGTACCCTCTCAAGAGCATGCCAATGATTATCTCCCGGATTTGACACAAATCGGCTTAGTTTGCTCACAGCAAACGAGATATCAGGCCTCATAGTGCTAGCCAGATACATAAGCGAACCAATAATTTAGGAGTATCTTAATTAATCCCTTGCTATTCTTTGATTTTCCTTAATAGCACACTAGGGTCATAAGGCGTAGGAGCATGTTGACAGTCACTGAACCCAAAGCAACTCAATACCTTTTCCACATAGTGGCATTGTAAAAGTGTAAACCCAACATTGCCTTCTCTTAACAGCTTAACATTAAGAATAACATCAGCTTCTCCCAAGTCTTTCATCTCAAAATTATTAGACAATAGGCCTTTAACCTCCTTAATCACATTAAGGCTGGTTCCAAAGATCAATATGTCATCAACATATAAGCACAAGATCACTCCTTCGCCCCGACCATATCGATAGTACACACATGTATTAGCTTCATTTACAACAAAGCTGGCATATGTCAAAGTTCTATCAAACTTCTCATGCCATTGCTTAGGAGCTTGTTTCAAGCCATATAAGGACTTCAATATCTTACACACCATGCCCTCTTGACCATTTGCTACAAATCCATCTGGCTGATCCATATAGATCTCCTCCTCTAACTCTCCATTTAGGAAAATTGTCTTTACATCCATCTGATGGATGATAAGACCATGAGAGGCAGCCAGAGAAAGTAACACTCGAATTGTGGTCAATCGAGCAACAAGTGAATAAGTATCAAAGAAATCTTCACCTTCTTTCTAGGTATAATCCTTGGCCACAAGCCTTGCCTTGTACCTCTTAATTGTACCATTAGGCCTAAGCTTTTTCTTGAACACTCATTTGCATCCTATTGGTTTACATCCATAAGGACGTTTAACAATTTCCTAAGTTCCATTAGACATAATTGAACCCATCTCACTCCATACTACTTCCTTCCATAAGTCAGCATCAGGATAGAAATATGCCTCTTCAATGATTCTTGGTATGTCATCCACAAGATACACAATGTAGTCATCACCAAAAGACTTTGCAGTCCGTTGTCTCTTACTCTTTTGAGTGACTACAATGTCATCCTCCTTAGGATTATGCATATGAGGTTCCTCAGAATGTTCTATCAGAATAAATTGCTCATGGAGAATTATAGGTTCATGACTAGACGTGCTAGGCGCATTTTTCATGGGAAAAATCACTTTCAAAAAATGTAGCATCTCTAGACTCCATGATAGTTCCAACATGCATATCAGGTACCCTAGAATTTATAATCAAGAATCTATATCCAACGCTGTGAATAG